TCTGATTTTCACTTCCTTTCTTTCTCTCTCCCTCTCTCTCTCTCTCTCTCCATAGTAATCGCTGGTTGCTAGGTTTGTTTGTGAGCCATTAGAGGCACGACACTTGTGGCCCTTGCTAGCAAAGTTCAAGATCTTCAAGGATTTGATTGTTATTACAATATAACAATAAAGGTATGTATCCTAGCCCTAAGTATATGTTAATTTCGAAAATTACATGTGCCTCCTAGGGTTTCTATTTTTTGTGTTCAATACTTGTATGTCTAATAGTGAAAACATAGATCCTAAAATTAGGGTTGCATGCACACATAAGATTGTTTGCTATGCATAAAACCCAATAGTGGTATCAAATCTTTTGGTTGATGTTTTCAATTAGATTTGATACAAAAGTATGAATTTGAAAAATTAGGGTTTATGGCAAATAAACCCCAGGGCTTGGGTTTTCGAAATTAGAGTTTCAAAACCCTAGTTTTCGAAATTTGTTAGGGTTTCTTGAACCCTTTTCCTTTGGCCCCATATTTTCGATTTTAGTGTTACTAAATACTAGGGTTTTCGAAAATACCTTCCTCCCCAAGATTAGATTTCAAAATTTTATGGATTAGGATAATGTTATCTTTGGTAATTATCTTATTAAATGTTTAAATGGATAATTAAAGGTTTTGAAATATCCCTTCCCAAATGTTCGAAATCTAAGGGATAAAGGGGTTGGGTTAAATTAATTATTTAATTTAATGGACAATAATTTAAATTAATTGTTTAATTTTGATAATTATTAAATCAATGTTTTAATATTTAATATATTAAAAGTAAAAGGTATTAATTTTTCAAAAAATTTAAATTTGATTAAAAACCCTAGTATTTTGAAATGTTTAAAATACACCCTTATATTATTATAATATTAAAAGCTTAATACTTATATATATATATATATATATATATATATATGTGTGTGTGTGTGTGTGTGTGTAAGCGAATGGTCAGTCTTACCGTTTGTAGGCCTCATTCACTAAGCTGGTCTATAAGGGGTGTTTAAGGAAGCGACTTGTAAAATGATTGCCATTGGGTATCCACTCTTACCCACCGCACTCTTGGCTAGTGGACGATTGTTAGCCGTACGGGTAGGATAGGATATAACCTTCCATTATAAGTATAATGATATACAAAGTAAAAAAAAAACACTTTTATAAATTCTAAAATCTTAGTTACTTTAGGAAAAATGTGGAATTGGTGCTTATCTATGAAATTGCACATTTGCACCTTGTTGGTTGTTAGTGGAGCATGTGTGGTTAATCGGCACGCTAATATGGGACCAATGAAGGATGGCAGTGGGTTTCTCATAAGATTATCATTGATCAATGGAGCGTGTGTGGTTAACCGACACATTGATTGGGTGGTAGTTGACATCGAGAGTACCTAGATAATTTGCATGGTTATTCACATCTTGTTTGTGATCCTCAGCATCCCAGTCACAAACTTGAAGGGGATAATCGATTAAACATGCCATTGAAAAGTTCAATGAATCTCAAAAGATCTAGGAGTTTCAATTCATTTAAAATCTAATTTTTCAATTTTCATTTTTCATGGTGGAAATTGGTAAATTGTCATTTACCTACCTTCAAATATTCTGCAGCTGGATTACGGCATCCCTCTTTCGAGTTGTAGAATATTGTGTTGGGTCCTAGCCTTAATATTTCATTTGGGTGTTATATTAATGGTTGAATCAACTAACTTAAATTTCTCCCTTTTTGTAGATGTCAAAATCTAACAACTATGGTCTTCCCAAATTCTTTGGAAAAAGCTTTCCATATGAAGACGATGTTTTGTGATTAGATCATGGAAATGGAAATCATGCTTCACTTCCTCCATCTCCTCCAAGAATTCTCGCCGGCCCACGTGTTCGAAGACTTGAAAAGTTTAAGGTCACTTAAGCCTAATTGGCAAACAAACACAAAGAAGGAAAGTCTGTATGTGCTATGTCTTGGATATGAAGTTGCATATTGACAAGTAGGGGATGTTGGATGTCGATGTCTCAAGGAAGTTGGATGTTGACTTGGTTCTTCAATCACTTACCAAATAATATAGTGAGTTCATTAAAGATTACTATATGATGGACCACGACATGACACTCATTGATCTTACCTAATTGCTTATTGCTGCTGAATCAGCAATGCTTTAGCACACTGGTAAAGCAAATTTGACTGGTAGATCAATCTCCCAAACTTCTATGGACATTGAAAATGGTAAGATTGGAAGTCCAAAAAAGTATTCTCTTCCCAATGGAAAGGGATTGGCGATGGTCAAACCATTTGAACGGATAGTGAAGAGAAAAGTTGAATCTGATATTGTCCCATGTGCTGTTCCAAATGAGTCCATTTCTTTCTACTGCCAAGAGAAGGGGCATTGGATGCGAAGCTGCTGTATTTACCTGAAGGATCGCAAAGATCGGAGAGTTAAGATGTATGAATTTGCTTTAGGTAAATCCATTATCTAACTCTTTTTGAAGTTCTTATTTAAAGATTCTTAATACATGATGTGATAAGATTACATATTCATATTTTGTAGGATCGAAGAAAAGAAAGGAAGCTTAATGGAAAGGTATGCCGAGTCTGATCGCGAAGAAATGGATTTCGATTGCATGGTTCGATGATTGGATTTTTGAGAGACTATATAAGAGTTATGATAGATTCCTTAGGAGCATTCTAGTAAAATAGTCTTCATTGATGACATCTTGGTTTACTCCAAGACTTAAGATCAGCATGAGGATCACCTGAGGGAGGTGCTAGAGACACTAAGGAGGGAGAGACTTTATGCAAAGTTCTCCAAGTGTGAGTTTTGGTTGCGCGAGGTGCAATTTCTTAGGCACTTGTCAACCAGAACGGTGTATTGGTCGATTCGGCCAAGATAGAGGATGTGATGCAGTGGGAGATTTCGAGGCTCTAACTGAGATTTGGAGTTTCCTGGGTCTAGCGGGTTATTACCGGAGATTTATTTAAGACTTTTCCTAGATTGCAATTCCTTTGACCCGACTGACCAAGAAGTCGGTGACCTTTTAGTGGGGGCCTGAGCAGCAGGTAGCCTTTGAGATACTTAGATAGTGGTTATGCGAGGCACCGATCCCGACCTTTCCAGAGGGAGTTGATGACTTCGTGGTTTATTGTGACGCTTTTATCATGGGCATGGGTGCGGTTTTGAGGCAGCGAGGTCACGTGATAGCTTATGCTTCAAGGCATTGAAGCCTCAAGTGGATAACAATCCGAAACATGATTTAGAGTTAGGGGCTGTGGTTTTTCGCTCTCAAGATTTGGCGGCATTACCTCTATAGGGTCCGTTGTAACATTTACACTGACCACACGAGTTTGGGGTACCTCATGGATTAGCCAAATCTAAACATGAGTCAGCATCGGTGGTTAGAAGTGGTGAAGGACTACGATTGTGAGATCCTCTATCACCCAGGCTAGGCCAACATGGTGGTCAATGCCTGAGCTGTATGGAGGTAGAAGCCCCGATTCGAGACATATTCTGAGGATAACAGTGATTACTCCATTGCTGGAGCAGAACCGAGAGGTGCAGGTTGAGGGCCTGAAGGAGGAGCGTCAGACGTGCGAAATGGATCATAGGCTATGTGGCCTCCTTTGATTACGAAAGCCATGGGCTGCTGAGCTTGCATAGAAGGGTCTGGGTACCGTACTGGGGTGGAGTGTGGCAGATTCTGATGGATGAGACCTACAAGTCCAGGTTCTCCATCAATCCTGTAGCGACAAAGATTTATATAGATCTTCGTCCTGATTACCGATGGCCCTGCTTGAAGCAAAATTAGCTTGGTACGTGGAGAGGTACCTGACCTGTTAGGAAGGTTATGGCAGAGCACCAAAGGCCTCATGACAAGACTCAACCAGTAGATATTCCTATGTGGAAGTGGAGGACATTACTATGGATTTCATTACTAAGCTTCTAGGACCGCACGTGGAGTTGATTCGATATGGGTCAACGTGGATCGGTTAACCAAGAGTGCTCATTTTATCCTGATCCAGGAGAGCATCTCGGCCAAGAAACTAGCCGAGATTTATGTATGATAGGTGGTAGCACGTCATGGAGTGTCTGTCCCAGTGGTGTCAGACCTAGACGTCCGTTTCACTTCCGATTTTGGAAGCGGTTCCACGACGAGATGGGTACTCGTCTCCACTTCAGCACCGCTTTCCATCCCCATAAGGACTGACATAGTGAGAGGACGATTCAGACTCTCAAGGACATGCTTCGTGCATATATATTTGGATTTTGGGGGCAGTTGGGATACGTATCTTCTACTTGCGGAATTTTCGTATAACAATAGTTACCACGCCAACATAGATCGACCTCCCTTCAAAATTCTCTACGGGGTGTAGGACCTCAATCTGTTGGGCGAGGTCAGTCAAAGGGTCATGGGGAGTATTGAGGTAGTACTCAAGACTACAGAGCGGATACATCAGGTCTAGAGTAGTCTCTAGACTCACCAGAGTCGGCAAAAGAGATATGCCGATAAGTGGCGTTCAGATTTGGATTTTCAGGTGGGAGACATGGTCCTCCTAACATGTCACCTTGGAAAGGTGTCATGCGATTTTGAAAGCGGGGCAAGCTAGGCCCCAGGTATATCGGTCCTTTTAGGTTTATAGCCTGGGTGGGAAAGGTGGAGTACCGATTGGATCTTCCAGCAGAGATCAGTAATATCCACAACACTTTCCATGTATGTCAGCTGCGGAAGTGCTTAGAGGATGACTCAGGTTGTACCTCTAGAGGACATTCAGGTTGATGACAGCCTGAATTACATCGAGAGACCGGTGGCTAGTCTCGAAAAGAAAGACTAGGGAGCTAAGGAACAAGAGGGTTGAGCTGGTAAAGGTGCAGTGGTAGTACGCAAGGCTCTGAGTGGACTTGGGAAGCCCCAGGAGGAAATAAGGAGCACTACCAAGAGTTACTCGAGATAGAAGACTTCGAGG